ATTTATACATTCCACACAGCTTATCTAATTAACATAAACTAGATACAGCAGTCAACCAATAAGGAATCTCCACACTTAATGGCTCACTGGCGTTACTTCTCAAACCACTCCCTCTGGCAAAATGCCAGGTGCCATCCAGACTTGTTTACAGACTCTAACATTTGCCAGGCGCCATCCTGACTTGTTTACAGACTCTAACAGTGCAGGACACCAGGGTGGCCCTTTGGGAAGGTAGAGAGACCTTTAAGAGTGGGACCTAGTGGAAAGTCCTTTGGTCATGGGGGCTTACCCTCAAAGGGGATTGTGAAACCCCAGGCCCCTCCTCTTTCTCTTTTGCTTCTTAGCTGCAAGCAGTTTTGTTCCACCATATACTCCCTGTCCTTGCCATCTGACATCCCTACCAGAGACTCAAAGCAATGGATGGATCCACCAGATGGTGGACTAGAACCTCTAAAACCATATGCTAAAATAAACCTTTTCTTTTTAAAAGAATTGTCTCAGATATTTTGTTACAGTAAATGAAAGCTGACTCATATAATCATTCACTGCCAGACCCTGTTTCCCCTGGCACTCGCCCACCCACACTCACCTAATTATACACTATAGATTCAGCCTTTGAGTTAAAATTTCCTTTCCTAGCCCCTCTCTACCTCATTCCACTATCTCAAGTGAGTCTACCGTCACATCTTATAGGGACGACACAGTGGCTCTCAAATTGAACAGGAGTCACACTTATCCACAGGGCTCATAAAAACACAGATTTCTGTCCCCACCCTTAGAGTTTCTCAGTAGGTGTGAAGTGAGCTTGAGAATATGAATTTCCAACAGGTTCCTAGGTGATACTGATGTTGATGGACTGGGAATCACATTTTGGAGAAGTGCTGGCCACTACAATGCCAGTTGGCCTCCTGCCTCTAAAGATTTTCTTTCTAAATCATCCCCTAGCCCTCTACCAGAGTTACCTCTCTAACCTCAAATCTGATCCTAATGACCCTGCTGCAAACATATCAATGGCTTGATACACAGGCCCTGCACTGTCTGTGCCCTCTCCATCCCTTCTCTGCACATAGAATCATTGGTCAGCATGATTTCTCCATCTGCTGGAACCCTCTGTCCGCATCCCTTAATCTATCCAGTCTGTCTATTGAACTCCTAATTGGACACCAAAACTCAGAACAACCTCCCCCCCCCCCGTCAAGAGGCCACCCCCAAATCCCTTCACAACAGTGGTTGTTCCTCAGTGCCCCATGGCACCTCAACATAATGATAGTGTCCATCATTGTCTTCACCAACCTGCAGGCTTCCTTTAGGTAGGGCTTCTGTCTTGTTCACCCTTGTGTTCGTGGTGCCCAACACAGATACACAGATAAATGATGAATGAATGATACCCATGATCAATATGACCCAAAGGCACCAACAGATAGAACAGGAAGAGGGCAGAGCTGTTCTCCTTGGTGTCAACTTGCAAAAGATCAGTGCTGCCCGCCCTGCAGCTGTGTCCCACACTATCCTGAACCTCTAACCCTCCTGAGCTGGATTCCTTCATACCTACAGGGAGCCTCTCAGTTTTCTTGATTATTTGTGATACCCTCTCCATCCTACCTCACTGTAGGCACAGTGGTCGGAACTGTATATTCAAGTGCCTCTTTGTCAACTGTTACGGATAGGTTAGAGACAGTTTTCAGCTTTGTCACTTAGACCCCTCTTGATGAAGGATCTCCATGCCCTACTTTTTTACTTCCTTGCTTCTGCAGTGCACCAGATCTGTGTTGTCAAATTACACTGCACATAAGCCCTTGGCTAGACTTATTTCCTGGCTCATAAATGATCACTAGAGTAATTTGACTGATGAATTCATCAGTCAGGATTTTTGATTGGAAAAAAGAAATGTAAAAAAAATGAATTTATTTGTAGGGCACTGGAGGTTCATAGATCATCAGGAGGCCAAAAGATCAGCCTTGGAGAAAGGCAGGACCCAAGCTTGAAGGCACTCCAGTTCCTCCAACTCCTCACCAGGAAGAGTTTGGCGAGCATGCTACCAGCACCCCTGCCACCCTGCAGATGACCTCTCACCAAGTCTTTATCTTTCTCTCATTGGTACACTTGGAGCATCCAATGCCCAGCCTTGGTCATTTTCCCTATCAGGGCTGTCAAGGGACAGGCAAGAGAAGATCTTGTTCTTTGGGCTTTTGAATAGGGTCTCACACCCTTCAAGACCATGCATAGGTAGAATAACTCCCAAATGGTCATGGAAGTCAGAGGCTTGCCAGACACAACTAAAGTCCACTACAGAGCAACATCCTGTCTTTAATTCAGTTGGATTGCCTTTCCCTAAATGTATTATGTCATTCTTATCCCCAGTGAACCTCACCTCTCTTATTCAATGTCATGGGTTTCTTGGGTTTTTYTCCCTCTCGTTCATTTACCATTTTATTATTACATGAAATTGATGACATCTGATGTTTCCCATCACTTTGTGTGCTCTGATGGCATTTTGTTATTTTTTCCCCCTGCAGGATAGGTAATGAGGCTCAYGGTTTGCCTTGCCAGTGCACCAGGAGCTCCTTAAGGGTAGAAATGAATCGTGTATCTTTCCCCCCTCTGYTCAGCACCTATCACAGAGTCTGGCAAACAGGGCTCAGCAGCTGAATTAATGAGGCACATGACTTATGTGATCTGTGCCCTTGATRCCTTACAAAACTGTTAGATAAACTGGTCCTGTGATTAATCCTCCATCCCCTCTAAGATGTGATCATTCATCTGTGACCTTTGTTTCTGTCTTCTCTACCAAATGCATCCTATGTTGACTGGTTAAAAAAAAAAAAAAGACTCTATGATGAAATTCTATCAAAAGCATTTTGAAAATTTAACTCAGTATTTCTCCACTCTGGCTTTACATAAGAATCACCCCAGAGGTTCTGATTTAATTAGTATTGAATGGGACATAGTTTGTTGATTTTTWAAAAGCCTTTGAGGTGATTCTGATGTGCAGCCAGTGTGAAGGACCTCTGGGCACAGTACATCATATCTATTGCTTTTGCCTTTATAGACTTTTTCCAGAGAGGCACGCAGGGTATCTCCTTGAATAAATTTGACTGTTTCTTACCTGAAAGGCTCTACAGTTCTCTCTGGTATCCATGGGGATTAGTTACATAACTCCTAGGATACCAAAAATTCATGGATGGGCTGGGGTTGGAGCTCAGTGGTATAGCACTTGCCTAGCACATGTGAGGCACTGGGTTCAATCCTCAGCCCCACATAAAAAATACATAAATAAAATAAAGGTCTTTTGTCCATCTACAACTTTAAAAATATCCATGGATTCTCCAGTGTCTTATATAAAATGGCAGGGTATTTCCATAAACCTACACATATTCTCCCACCTACTTTAATAAAATGTGAAAGATTCATATGATCCAATACACTGCCTAAATGCAGTGTAAGTGCTAGGTAAATAGATGTTATTCTATATTGTTTAGAGAAATATCTGTCCATCTTCAGGAAAGATGCAATGCTTTTTCTGAATATTTTTTGATCCAGGTTATTGAATACATGGGCGTGGGACCTGGGAACATAGAGGGCTGAATACAAATTTATGTTATTTRTGTTATTTATTTATTTATTTTCATTTAAAGCCTGTAAATATACAGGGGATATAGCTCAGTTGGTATAGTGTTTGCCTCACATGCACAAAGCCCTGGGTTCAATCCCCAGCACCACCAAAAAAAGAAAAAAGAAAAAAAAAAGCCTGTCCTCTTACTTCAAATGGGAATGAGACTCCCCAATCGGCATCCTTCTATGTTGGTTGACCTCAGAAACTCTCTGAGTCTCCAACTCTGCGAGTGCGTGACACTGGTGACTTCATCTTTGGCTAGTCATCCAGAGACACACCCTGGGATTCCTCCAGAACCCTTGGGGATGGGGACAGATGGGGGAGTGTCCAAATATAATGAGTTTTTTATGTTCAGTGTGTCAATTGTGTTTAGAATGGCCTGTTCACTGACCACTTTTAGATATAAAACTATTATTCAGTCTCTTTCCTGAAAAATACGTGAAATATTAGTCCACAAGCACATAGAGAAATTATTTTTAAAAAATCCATTCTATCTCTCTCCCACCAGAATCCACTTCTGCTATTCTGTCCTCCATCCATTTAGGAAGAATTTTATGAGGATGGTTATATTCCTGGCATGGTGTTAGGTACAGGACCAGCATTAGAGCTACAGTAGTAAGTCATGTGGCTTTGCTCTCAGCCCTTGCTGAACTTCATCATTTTCTCTTCATATTGTATTGAAAGTTTGCTAAAAAYGTTAGTAGAGGTGGAAGTGAAAATTTATTTGAGTAGATGTGTGTCAATAGTTTTTTTTTTTTTTTAATGATGTTCTTGTGTCATATGCCTGTTTGCATTGTCAGAAAAAGCTATCTTTTCAAAATAGTATACAGGTGTGAACTACCCTAAATTCTTTGTTCAGTTAACTACTCATGAAAATAAGTAATTATATCTTTCTGCTGTTGGTTTTTTATTTCAGGTCCCATTCTGAGTTTCAGCCACTGAGGGATTCTACCAACTCACTGCTGCTCCCTTCTCTTGGTTTAACGTCATTTGCAAGGGACTTGTTCTGCTTCATCTAGTCCCTGGGCCCCTTGATGTTGCTGAGGGTGAGTGACATCCTGAAACCCTTACAAGCCCAAATGCATTAATAAGGCAATGTCTCAATAGCCCCTGGGTTTTCTCCCATATCATGTTCCCACAGAGTCATGAGTTTTCTAATTGTCTCCTTACTCCACAGATTAACCCAATGCTGCAACTTTCAGTCAAGTTTTCTCTCCCACTTGGGAGCCATTTTTCCATTAAGAGGCAAAGTCCACTTCACTTCCTGAGAGGCAGCACTGTGTCCATGATGAGAACAGAGGACAGTCAGGCTGGGCTGGTGGCGGGTACTGAGCAGAGGACTGGGACCACTCACCGTCCACCAGCTCTGTCCAAGCCCCACCTTCCCATGCACAGCTTGGGCTTTCAAGGACCCTCTTGAGCCTGTGAAGCCATGACTGCCAAATCCAGAACGGTTAGAATTCACTGGGGGATTCCAATTTCTACAAAGATACTTTGGGGGTATTATTCCTACTTAGTTTGCTCTTATTCTGCTAGTTAGCATGTCCGAGGGTTCCTAAGATACTTAGGCTTTTTAATTTGTAATAAACATCCATTTCCTGGACTATATTTAGGTTTATTTGGAAACATTGATCATTTAATTCTAAAACTGTTCTTTATAAAATTTCTTTCTCTATCACTGAATAATATTGGTATTGACTATTTTAGCTTTTGCTATTCAATTAAACATGGTGAATTTATTGAGGAGAGAGAGGAAGTCTCCCTCAAACAAATATCTCTATCTGTAAAGATATCCCCAAAAGGAGTGTGGAGAGGAGTTAAAGTTCATAAGAAAGCATGACGTTACTGAGATTTGACACCCAGGAGCAGGGAAAGAGTTCCTCTGGGGTGGGGATGAAGAGTAAAAAGACTTGGAGAAATTGGGTTTCTTTTGGGTGGGAAGCCAAATAATTAGAATAGATCCCAGCTGGGTGTGGTGGTGCATGCCTGTAATCCCAGCGGCTCTGGAGGCTGAGGCAGGAGAATCACGAGTTTAGAGCCAGCCTCAACAATTTAGTGAGGTCTGAGAAACTCAGTGAGTTACTGTCTCTAAATAAAACATGAAAAGGGCTTGGTGGTTAAGTGCCCCTGGGTTCAATCGCTGGTATTTAAAAAAAAAAAAAAAAAAAGGAAGGAAGGAAGGGGTTGGAGGAGAGATCTGAAAAGTTTCAAGAAACCCAGGAAGGATCAGATTATATGACCAGCTGCAGATCAGTGGAAAGGAATCCAGGCAGCCTGCAGCCATTGAATAGAGTTGTTCTGGCAAAAAAACACCCAATGGAAAGAGACAGACATGCATGGAGGAGATTCACGTGAACCAGCACCAGGGGCAGTGTGTTGAGACTGGCAGGTGTCCATGACTGAAGGTGATAYGGCACCAGACAGATGCAGTCTTCCTTCTTCAGGGCTCAGGAAAACTCAGGGATGCTGGCTCAGAACCTAGGCCATAGCTAAATGTGAACCTGAGCCAAGCAGTTATTAAAACTGCATCAGGGCACTGCGTTGTGTCTAGTAAAGCAACTGCCCCTGCACCTCCCAACCTCTGCAGGTTTCACACTCATCTATAGGCTCTGCCCTCCAGGGACTGTTAGTAAAGTCATCTGTGGCCCAGCTTCCTGTCGGAGTGTAGGACCTGCCACTGCAGAGCCAACGGGGGACACCGGAGAGCAGGAAAGGAGAAATGTAATGTTCTATTACTGTTCACTTTCTTGCTGCACCAATCCCTGTTCATGACTGAGAAGCAAGAATAGTCACTTTTTTTCATCACAGTTTTTACAGTCACCTATTCCAGGAAATGGTCTTTCTTCCTCTCCAGGATTTAAATCTCCACTGTCCACCTCAGCTTATGCTTAATAGATACAGTCCCATGGATTATGGCAGGGCCCGGTGTAGCAGGTACTGCCAACCAGCTAAGGGCTGCCCATCTGTCTCACCCCTTGGGACAGGTGACATTCCAAAGAAAGTTCCCTCAGTTCGAGTGTCTATTATAGGGTGTGGATTTCTGCCCACAAAGGCTCTAACGTGCTCTCTCTGGGATGCTCTTGTTCTATTCCTCGCGTGGCCTTCCTTGGATAGGAAGCTGCCCACCCTCACACATACATTCTAGCTTTCCCTGCAAAGATGAGGAAGGAATCTCAAACCAGGTGAAAATTCATCTCTTTCTATCCAGATCCGAGTCACTAATAGTTGAAAGGAGCTCTGTGAAGGAATCCACTAGAAAGCAACAAGCTTTAGAAGCCGGCAGGGCTAGCCAGCCACTGTCAAGTTGCAGATAAACAGCAAGCAGTTCTCCCTGGTCAAACAATACCTCCCCTTCAGCTGCTCCCTTCAATTCCTTAATGCAGGTCATGCTTTTCATTTTACCACTGGAGAAAAGGCCTTTGGAGGTGAAACTCTAGATGGAAGGTGCATCAGATAAACATAATTGGCATAGATTCTTTCCCTCAGAGCAAACCTTGTATGCAGGGGGCCTGAGGCCTTGGGTGCTACAAGGTGGGTATCAGCTCTTCCTCTGCCTGAACTGCTTCCCCTTTCAAAACCTGCTTTCATACTAAGGTCAAGATCCCTGAAAACAAATATCACCTTTACTTCAATGTCTACATGCTCTAAAAAGAAACCTGTGCTAAGGTGGAAACTAAGCCCAAGTGCAATTCTAAAAAGTCAGTTCAGAGTCTCCTGGCCCTCTGTGAAGATCAGCTGCTTTGCAAAGCTTCACACCAAGAAAGGAAGGTACTCTCTTCTCAAACATAAGAGGCAACCCCTCAAGAGTTAACCACGAGAAAAACTCCCTGACTACACTTCTGGAAAATGATGGGAATCTCAGGATCCATAGATCCTCCAGGAACTTGAGGAGAGGTAGGAATTTCAGGGGAATTTTCAGGAATATGTCTGGAAATCTTATTCTCGTGGGTTTTAATGATGCCAAATAAATGTCCTTGATGTCACATGAGCATCAGCATGCAAACAAGGCTATGGAAGACAAGGAATTTGCTAATCTTCTCCTGGCAGAGTGTGTGCCCCAGAAACAAAGACATTGCAGCCAAATCAACCCAGACTTTCTGAGATTCTGGGAAAAGTCCGAAGGATAAGGGTCCTGCCCTGCTTCCCTGTCATGCCCTCCTAGCACTGGGCTCCTCATCTCCTCCGCCTCCCTTCTGTCCCTGTCCTTCAGCACCCACCTTGCTGCTTGTGAGCAGCTTTCTATTCATGATGGAAGGTGGAACTCTTAGCAAAAAAGAGCTCAGTGCAGCTTGCTGAGCTGGGGATTTGGAGCAATCAGATTCTTCTATTTCTGTCCTGATTTTCTTTCTTTTTTAATGTTTTTGTAGTTGTAAATGACAGAATGCCTTTATTTTACTTGTTTATTTTTATGTGGTGCTGAGGATTGAACCCAGTGCCTCATGCATACAAGGCCAGCACTCTGCCGCTGAGCTACAGCCCCAGCCCTCTGTCTTGATTTTCAACATGAGGAAATGTCTCCGTGATCTAGCCACGTGCATTTGTGTGCCTCTCTGGGTACTAAGATCTGTTTCATGAGATCTATGAGTAGAACCTGCACCTTCTCCATCATTTCTGACTCCCCAAAACTTCAGCCCTGGAGTCAAGTCTACATGAATTCCCAAGATAGAATTGCAAYGATTTGTTGATGGGAACAAATAAATGACCCAACAGCCCCAGGCCTTTGGGTAGGACTCACCCACCTTTTCAGCTATCAGGAAGTTATAGCGAAGGGCCTCTCGGGTGCAGATGGCGCCCAGCAGGAAGGTGAAGACGATGTACAGAAACCACCTGTGAAACCCGAGAGCAGAGGGGAGCTGCCATCCGACCTGCCCAGCCCCATCCCAACACCACCCCCACCCCTCACCCCTGCCAAACTGCTCAACCTTTGCTTCCTATGGGAACCTGTCTTGAAATGAAAGAGAAAGGGCAGTCACGAAGTTGGCCTGGTGGGGCCTTTTTGTGCTGTTTCTTCTCTAGCACATTTCTTACCAAAAAAAAAAGGTGTCAATGTTTTGTTTCTTTCTTACATTAAAGAAGAAAAACAAAAAGGATGTTGAGGATGTAGAGGTGGGAGGCCCAGCTGGCCTCTAGGCTGCTGAATGCAGGTCAGGGTTGACCCAGGGCCCCACACCCCGTCCTCCTGRGCGTCTGCTGGTCTCTGGCCACAAATAACAGGCTGGAAAGCCAAGTGTGAAAATGTAGAACGTAGCCTGGCCCTGCCCCAAGACACCCTGGAACCCTGAATAGGTCACACGGTCCCTGAGGGCTCCCTACCCATCTGGGCACTGAGAGGACAGGCCAAAGGTTCCTCCTGGGCCTCCTGGTTGTGACCAAAACCAAGACAGAGTTCTCATGTAGAATTCTATTTCCTTTCTCCCCATCATCAACGTTCTCCCTAGTGTCATGATTATCTTCCCAATGTTGTTGCCTCATTTTGCTTTATGGCCTGATACCCTGTGCCTGGCTGGAAGCAACAGTGCTACAGCAATAAGCTAAGAGCAGATTTGATGTTTCTTAAATAGATACATAAATATTATTTAAGTATCACAGTTAAAGTAATAAAAGTGTTCTCAAGTCATGGTCATGTCTATGATCTCATTGTTTGTTTGTTTGTTTGTTTGTTTGTTTTTACAACTCCCCAGTGAAGCTTCCTTCTTGGTCCTGAGAGAAAAAGGAGATTCTGGAAGATCAGAAACAGACTCAAGGTCACCCAGCCTGCTAATGTGGGTAGCACAATGAAAACTAAAACTCCAGAAGCCTGACAACCAAGCTGGTCTCTGAGCTTCTACTAGGTGGCTTTCAATATGGTATCTTCTCCTCAGTTCATAAGGCACAAATTTATCATTATCCTTGTCTTATAGAAAAGGAAATGGAAGCTCAGAGAGCTAAGTGAATTGTCCAAAGTCATATAGCAAATTGGCCACAGAAAACTAGGATACAAGCCCTAATCTGTCTGATTGTGAAGCTCTTCATGTGTATGTTCCTGCCAATGGTCTGAAAATTCAATGGTTTAAAAAAAAAAAACAAAAAAAAAACCCAAGTTCAAAATGAGGGTGAGGAAGGGGCAGGGGCAAGGGCGAGAGGCTGAGGAAAAAGGAATGAAAGGCTTTGGCCTGTGCTCTGCATTAATGGCCCCCCCTCCTCCCAGCATTCCCAGGCGGGTTGGATGTGCAAGGGCAATGTCTGAGCCCACCAGACGTGAATTTTCCAGCCCAGCGAGTATTAAAAGGAGGATCGGCATATGAAATAGATTGGTCACAGTTGGGGCACTCCCAGAACAAAAGGGGCAATCCCCCCTTTTGCCTGAGGTTTTCTCTCCCACTCTCCAGTTTAGACTGATTGCCAGGAGGGAAACTTACGAGATGCCAACAGCTGCTAGGGAGCCCAGGGGGACACTGGCAGCCGGATCCCTGAGGTCGCCTCCCATGTTGAAGCCGGCCATGACTCCTAAAAGACACCCAGACAGGGGTGGGCCCCCTGGTGATGCAGTGCACTCCACGAATCACCTTCCCCAGGGCTGCCCTTCCTCTCCTCCAGGGCCCTGTCCTGGAGTCTCCCCCACATCAAGCCTTCCCTATTTGTGCAGCTTCACAAATAGGCCTCTTCTCCATCTCCCCGGGCAACTGGGGAGGCATCTGCATGGCCATGAAAGAGATCTTTGTGGTTGAGTGACACTCAGGAGGAAATCTCCTCCAGCTACAAAGGCATCTCATTGCCCAGTACAAAGGATTGAGGGTGAGGGAGGTGTCTTGCAAGTCACACAAAGGTCCCTGTACTGCATGCTGAGCCCTGCCTTTCCAGCTGGGACAATGCCCTGGAGTGGCTCAGCAGCAGCAAAAGGCCTGGCAGACCTCTGTCTGGCAGATTTCCTTGCCTCAGATGCCTACTGATTACACTAGGGATTCAAGCATCCTTGGGGTCAGATACCTCTAATAATCAGGACCAGAGACCATGTTCAAAGCTCCTGAGCTACCAGAGGGCTCCAAACAAACTCCAAAAACCAATCCTGATGCTGCCAACATGGTACCACCTTTTCCTTATCACCTATAGACCCCAAGAACACTGATGAAAATGAATTGATCCATCACGGTGAAAGACCAACAGCTGAGTCAGCAATCAAGGATGTTGTCTCTTCACCTGTGTGAAAACAACAAAATGGTGTGTTCTGAACATGGGATGAGGGCCCAGGCAATAAGCACTCGGAAACTCAATGAAGTGGGCCAGGAAACCTCACAGGGGTGGAGGGTGCACCTCCAGTGTGGCCTAAAAAGAGGGGTTGAATGGGCTTAGTGGTCAATATGGATCCCACACTGTCATTCTGGATTTATGAACACTTCCAACCTGACAGCACCTGTGATAAGTGCTTTACATGTATTTTTCTCTTTGTAATCCTCAAAACAATCACTTCAGAAAGGTCAAGAATTATTTCCTCATTTTATAGAAAAGTCCTCTAATGGGGTCATTAAAAAAGACTAGGTCACGTTTACTAAGTGGCAAGAGTAGGATTTGGTCACCATCTAACTCTGAAAATTAAGCTTTCACTTGCTTCTGCTGAAATGCTTCATGGAATCCAAGTGAAGCAGAGTGAAGTCAAAGCTTGGGGTAGAAAGTTACAGCGGGGCTATGTCAAAGAGAACCCTATATGTTGGACCAAGGCTGGGGCCTGCATATACTTTGACCCAGGATCAGTACCACTAGGATTTTATCCAAAGTAAATTAGTCGAGGATATGAGTAAAGCTTTAGTACAAAATTTATAAACACATGTTTGGAGTGAAGATTAGAAACAACCTAACATCTAAAAATAAAAGGTTGCCTAAATAAATGTCTCAACAAATACCAGGTCTGGAATATTGTCAGGGATATGCTGTGACATGCAAAGATATTTAAAGCTATTGTTTAGTTTTAAGAGGCATGTTAGAGAGAAAACATATGTTAGGGTCCCGTTGTTGTGAAGGAACAGAGAGAAGCATAGAAGGAGCTAGAATGTGTTTCTCAATGTCAACAATGTTATTTCTGGGTGATGGAAGAAGAGATTTTTTTATTGGATTGTTTATATTTTTTCTTAAATTTCTACAGTGATCTTTTTGAAATGTATGGAAAAGGATGCTTTAAAGCTTCATTTGTCTAAAATGGCCTGGTAGGTGCATTTTCTTTCCATTCATTCCCCTCCCGCAAGATCCTATTAAAAGGGTAGTGAAGGGGGACAAGGAATAAATGTCCATATGCAAAGAGAATGGCATCCATGCAGATGAAAGGCCTCCATAAATTTCTTGGACACAGAAGATGGCAGAGTGAAAGGGACGGAAAAGAGTGCCTGGCAAGGCTTCTCTTGGGGCTCTCAATACACTGCCTGAAGACAACCAAGGCTGCCAGGTAGATGTCGCATCCTAGATGGGGCCTGCTCAGGAATCTGTCCTCCCCACCCCAGCAGGGAAACAGACCTAAACACCCTGTGGCAGGGGAATCCATGCCAGCCACCAAGGATGGCCAGATGTGTGATGAAAACCAGCAACCAATAAACAAATACCTGCAAAAATAGGCAAGAAACAACTTAAATCAGGATACGAAGAGAATTTTGAAGAAAACACTGATTAGTAACTCCAGATACATCTCAGAAAATATTCTACCTATAAAATAAGATGCAATGAGGAAGCTGGGCATGGTGGGGCACCTCTGTAATCCCAGCAACTCAGGAGCCTGAGGCAGGAGGATCACAGGTTAAAAGCCAAGAAACTTTGTAAAGCCCTAAGCAACTTAGCAAGGCCCTGCCCTAAAATAAAAAATAAAAAAGGCTGGGGATGTAGCTCAGTGGCTAAGCACCCCTGGGTTCAATCCCCAGTGCTTCCCCACCAAAAAAAAAAAAAAAAGCTATGAAAAAAAATCCCACTAGAAAAAAACATTTAGAAATTTAAAATATTAAAAATGCAATAAATATGAAGGATAAAATTAAGTAAATATCCAAACACTTAGAATATAAAGATGAAAAAGGTAGAAAATTTGAGTGAATTCAGAGAGAAAATTTTACAGTCACAATAGCCAACTAATATGAGATTCAGAAAACAAATGCAAATAACCAGGTAGGTGACAGAAGGAAATGTCCCTAAACCAAAGAAGACACAAGTCTTCAGACTGAAATATCCCACTGAGCACCCTGCACAAAGAACTAAATTAAAAAAAAAAAAAATCACACCTATATGTTATCACTGTGCAATTTCAGGAGAAATCCTAAAGGCTGCCAATGTAACAACTGAACACTCACACAGTGTTATGGCTTGGATCTTAAGAATTAAAGGCGTGGTCTCCAGTAGATGTCACTATTTGGGAGAACCCTTTACCATGTGGAGCTTGGTGAGAGGAAGTGACGTCACTGGGGGTGTGCCCTTGGAGACCACGCCTCTCATTTCCTAGCTGCCATAAAGTAAGCAGCTTTGCCTCACCACACACCACCTGCCATGATGTGCTACCCACCACAGGACCACAGTGCCAGGACCAAGTGACCGTGGACCAAAACCTCTGAAGCCATGAGCCAAATAAATCTTTCCTCCTTTTGTTTCTCTCAGGTGTCTTCCTACCACGACTGAAGGCTCTCTGACACACATAAAATCCAACCCTGTACTGGCATCGGTCTTCTCCCCTGCAACACTGAATGCTGGAAAACACAGGAGCACCAACTTAAAAATTTTGAGGGAAATTTTTTTTTTTTGAATTTCGAATTTTGGCCAGATTACCAAATAAGTGAAAGTTAAGCATATAAGAGTCCAGAAACTTTATCTCCCCCATATCTTTTCTGAAGAAGCTACAGAAGTGCATACTCGAGCAAAATGAAGACAGAACCATGAGAGGAGAAAACACGACATTCAGAAATAGTGGTGATAACTCAGTGCTGAAGTGAAATCCCAGAATGACAGCTGGACAGCAGAAAAAGAAGCAGGGGTTGGAGCAAAATGATGGACACCCCGGGAGGGAGGCTTCCGGATAGGAAATGTACTCAACAAAAGAGGCCATTTGATTAACTCACTGAATGATTTTTAAGGGATACACTGACTACTTGTTTTAGCAACAAGAAAAAAGAAAACTTATTAGAACTCCAGGAAGCCAGGTGCTGGAGTGCATGCCAAAACCTCAGTGATTTCAGAGGCTGAGGCAGAAGGATCACAAGTTTGAGGACAGCCTTGGAAAGTTAGTGAGACCCTGTCTAAAAATAAAGGTGGGAGATAGGGATATAGTTCAGTAATAGGGCACTCTTGGGTCCAATCTCCAGTACCTAAAAAAAGAAAAGAAAAGAAAGAAATTGTAAGAAAAGTGACTTAACAAGAAAGTTAAGTCAAGGTCTAAATATAAAGCAAACTAGAACATGAGATGATCCTAACTCATAAAAAAGCTAACAAACATTAACCCGTTTGGCCATGATATTAGCTACATTCTTCCTAAATGGCACAAGGACCACATGGAAATCACAGGGAGGAATGGAATTCTACCTCATTACTTTTTTTTTTTTTTTTTTTTTGGAGGTAGGGGTTACAGGGGATTAAACCCAGGGGCACTTAATCACTGAGCCACATCCCCAGCCCTTTTTTATATTTTATTTAAAGACAAGGTCTCACTGAATTGCTTAGGGCCTCACTAAATTGCTGAGGCTGGCTTGAACTTGAGATCCTCTTGCCTCAGCCTCCAGAGCCACTGGGATCACAGGTGTGTGCCACCACACCCTGCTTTCTCCACTACTTGGCTTCTCAGTGAACAGGGTCATAAAGCACATGTTAATTGGTTTTAACTTCAGAAATTGACCTATAGACAGCACAGAGGACATGACTATAGTTATAAAGCAGAATTTGAATATTATCTACCTTGACTATGTACAAATGAGGGTATAGTTAACTGATATTAGGAAGTGAAAAGAAGCAAATGAAGTAGAAGGAAGAAAAAACAAACCTAAAATCTTCCAGAGAGTAAAGTGAGGGAAAATAACGCCCCATGATCTTCTCTCAGAAAGATTTAATGACTATAGTGTCACAAACTGAAATTAATCCAATAAGAAAACCTGAAAGTGCTTCAAGCAACGYCTTGGACTAGCCATTAAATTTGTGAGGTAGACAAGGAAAACGCTAACGAACATTTATATACCTGTTACAATGAATTTAAACTGTACTTATGATGTATCTTGTCATCACGAATTTGAGTTTCTAAGTGTTTACTAAGGAGAGCAAAGACATTTCCAATATTTCATAGTTCCAAAGACTTAACTTACAACCTTAAGACAAAATGGTTAATAGGCAGAGGGTGGGAAGTGGGTGTATAACTGTGTGTGTTCGCTTAAAGTTGTAAATAAGATTTTTCACAATTTTGGACCACTTACTTGCGAACAATCAAACTTGTTGTTTTCCTGATATTGCTCTAAAAGCTCAAATATGAAAAGATGATGCAGATTCCCTTAAAATGAGGACAG